CATACTTTTGAGATGGGCATTAGTTCACAGCTGGAGTTAACATGTTTTGAGTTTTTGTAGAATGGGGACACAAGAAATCTTGGAGATGTGAAACCTAGAATAACAGAGGAAACTAATGACAAATCAAAGATATGGAAGTTGAGTGAGATTAACGAGCCCTCTCAGTGCCGGTCCTTGAAGCTCCCGGAAAATTTAAGAGTTACAAAGGTTTGTTACATAATCTGTAAGTTACTTGAATGGAGTCATAGGAATGTTACTTAAACTAAAGTTCTGTCTATTATGTTAATGCAACAGATATCAAGATTGATATATACGAATTCGGGCAATGCAATACTGGCGTTAGCTTCGAATGCAATCCATTTGCTGTGGAAATGGCAGCGAAGTGACCGTAATTCAAGCGGCAAGGTAAAAAAAAATGCAAATATAAAAATTACAAAGTTTACCTCCAAGATTTCTCAAGAAAATTATCCTGAAAAAGTATTTTTTCACACTGTTAGGCAACTGCGAATGTATCTCCTCAATTATGGCAACCGTCGAGCGGGATTTTGATGACCAATGACGTTGCAGAGACGAATCCCGAGGAAGCTGTTTCTTGCTTTGCTCTGTCCAAGAATGACTCCTACGTGATGTCAGCATCCGGGGGAAAGATATCTTTGTTTAACATGATGACTTTCAAGGTGACTTTTGTAAAACAATATTCGGGATATCTTATTATTATTATTATTATTATTATTATTATTATTATTATTTTTTATTATTTTGTGCATGTTTTGATCTGTTGCACTTGATCATGAATTTGTGCAGACAATGACGACTTTCATGCCTCCACCACCAGCAGCAACCTTCTTAGCATTCCATCCTCAGGATAATAATATAATCGCAATTGGGATGGACGATTCAACAATTCAGATATATAATGTCCGAGTAGACGAGGTAATTTCATATGCGCACATATTAGGAAATCTCATTCAGCAAAAAGAGTAAAAAACCCTAGATTTACTGATTTTTTTTTTTTTTTTTTTTTTANNNNTCAAATTATTTCAGGTGAAAAGCAAGCTTAAAGGACACTCAAAGAGAATTACAGGCCTTGCTTTCTCCCATGTATTGAATGTGCTTGTTTCATCAGGAGCTGATGCTCAGGTTAATAATTACTATAATTCCAGAGAAAGAGAGAATAAAATACAATTACTATTTAAGTTATAATTTCCTGATTTTCATCGACTTTCTCCCGGCCAGCTTTGCGTGTGGAGTTCCGATGGATGGGAAAAACAAAGATCAAGATTCTTGCAGCTACCTTCCGGAAGGTCACCTGGAGTACAATCCGAAACACGCGTGCAGTTTCATCAGGACCAAATTCACTTTCTGGCCGTGCACGAGACTCAACTCGCCATATACGAGACCACCAAGCTAGAATGTGTCAAGCAGGTAATTTTTTATTTACTTATTGATATTTTTTCCCGAGAGACTTGCTTATGATAATTTTTTTTTTCAACAAACTCCAGTGGGCCCCACGAGAAAATTCTGCCCCTATATCGCACGCGACTTTCTCGTGCGATAGCCAGCTCGTGTACGCCAGTTTTCTTGATGCGACAGTTTGCGTATTCACTGCTTCACACCTGAGATTGAGATGCCGAATCAATCCTTCTGCTTATCTTAATCCTAGCATCAGGTTTATATTAATCTTAAAATTTTTCATTTTTCTTTTTTTCTTATTCAATTTCCTTGTGAGTGATGGATAATTTTATTGTTCTCTCTCGAGCAGTTCAAATGTGCACCCGCTCGTGATTGCTGCACATCCTCAAGAACCGAACCAATTTGCGTTAGGACTTTCGGATGGTTCGGTTCATGTTTTTGAACCCCTTGAAACCGAAGGCAAGTGGGGTGTGCCACCGCCTATTGAAAATGGGTCATCGAGCAGTGTGCCCACGACACCTTTAGGCGGAAGTGGGCCCGTCTCAGAACAGGCCCAGAGGTGAGCGGATGGGCGGGGTTGGGTTTCGGGGGTATTATGGTAATTTTTGGTTATATGGTGTTGAGGATTTTGCGTGAGCAACTGATGAATTGACGTTTTGGGTTTAGAGTTTGTGAATTTGTTTGGAGAAACTTTTGTAGCTGGCCATGTTGGAAATACTTGTACATTATTTGTTATTACATTTGTGGCGTAGCACAAAAAACACATTCTTTTGATCTCCATATTTTTGTGAAGGTTTTTTTTATGTTAATTTAACTGGAGGCCTGAGGCCCGAAGTTGCAATTTCTAACTGGTTTTGGGGAAAAGATGTGATGTATGATTGGTGAGTTACAACGGCTTTGTTTTTAGTTTTTAGTTTTTACCCTCCTTTCGTAGAGTTATTGATGTTATTACTGTTTCTCTCTTGACCTTTGTCTCCTTTTGGATGTTTGAGACACCAGTGTGTTTATGATAATTTCAGTGAACAAACAGAAAGAAAAAGGAAAAAAATGGTTTGCCTGGTAAGTGTGTTTATGTTTCAAATTTTCTTACATCTATTTTCTTTAACTTAGTTTACCTTCTAATTTTTATTTTAAAAGACATGCAATTGTTTTTGTTTTCTAATGTCAAGTTAAAATCATTTATATATAAAACAGATATCATTATCATACTCAGCAAAATGTATTATGTAGTCATTTTACATCAAGTTAATCGAAGTATCAAAATGCCTACATCAAGTTACAATTTTTTATTGAAAACTACAAAAAAATTGATACGGCAACGTCGGCAAGTTATCTGTCACACAGTAATAACCTTGTGTCTAGCAAATTAAGAAAACGAACACAAGATTACTAGAATAAAAGGAGAAAAAGGGGGAAGAAAAATACGAAAGATAATGAACTATCACAACATAACGCGAATAAACAGTTGCCCATAAAACATTTATGTACAATATTTGTCCTGAAATTGACAAACATATTTTCCAGAACCCCACAAACAAAAGCAAAAAATAATGATA